TCGTCTTTATCGGGTCGAAGACGAGCCGCAGTCGCTCACCTCGGCCTTCTGCCGCTTCTAGAAGTTTGTCTTCTGGAAAGCCCACAGGCAGCGCCACAGAGCGCGTCCTGCGAAGGGTGCATTCCGCGCTGAAGGGGCCCACCGCCAGCCTGGTCTCCGAGCCCATTAACTCCTGCGCCCCCACGCCCGCCGCTCGGCTCGCACACTCTCTCTCCGCCCACGTCATCACACACAGGCGGAGACAGGCAGGGCCCATCTCGCCGGCTGGGCTGATCCGGCAGTGCAATTCAACGCGCTGGCGCCTGGACCCGAATCGGTTATCCGTGCGGTTCTGGCGGCCGGATTCCTGCAGGTCCGGCATGGGCCGCCCCAGGGCCCGCACTCCCACGGCTCTCCGTTGTCGCTCCGTGCTGGAGGGAATTAGTCAGTGATTGCTCTGTCGTAACGCCCCCGCTTCACACACACACCAGCACAGTCGCTGTGGATTATTGTCTTTGAACCGCTAAACGCGGCTTTTACCACGCCGCGATGGCAGTTTAGTCAGAGTCATTTCACGAATACGGGTCGACGAATTAGGGCCTCGTTCTTTTCCACCCTACCTCCATCTCCAGGGCCTGATCGTTATTATTTGGTGGAATCCTGAAAGTAAATCGAGACAACCCCAGCAACGATCTACTGCGGTTTCCAATATTTTAAAGCGATCGTTCTGCAATTAAATCCTAAATAAGTATTTTTTTTTTCTTACGGGCGCGAGTCATTCTTTTCATTTATCTGTTGAAAGTATCATTTCTGTCATATTAATATTCACCGATGTAAGATGTCAGCGACTTAATAAAGGCATCACGAAGGAATCAACTGAGGCAAGGCGTTAAGGAAGCTGGAATGCTTTCTGTGTCGCACTCTGTTCGAATAGAAAAACTCTGCTTATAATTAACGTCTTGTTAACATGCATCCACATGAAACTATTCACTGGGTTGTCTTGTCTGATTTATAAATATCCCGTGCTGCAGGAGCCCATCCGACGAAGACGAGCCTTCTTCACCGGCCGGCTCAGTGTCGATCAGGTAGGAGGTTGAGGGTCTGTCAAACCGGAAACGAGATTTCACAGAGCCGCGAGCTGGAGTGCGGGCCGCTGATTGGAGGACGTGCAATACTTCTCCACGAGGGCACCTAGGAAGGCAATACTGCCTTTCCACATCCACGAATTTCTACCCCACGCGCGTTTGCATTCCTGTGCTTGTGGGGACTTCCACTCAGAGGACACTCCACGCAGGGTGAATAGGGGCCAGAAACAAATTTGCCAAGCGCGCAGTCTTCTCGTGCGCTAAACAGACCTGAGATCTTGAACGCTGCAGATTCACGCTCTGAAGTTGGTATCGCCGGTCCTGACTGATCAACATCAGCTGAGAGAGATTCCCAATCACGATCCACGTCTTTCAGTGTAATTGCAGTATTTGTTATGGGGGGTAAATGAAATGTATTCAGGACCGTTTTAGGAAGAAAGCATATATGTTTTTTTTCCAGTTTATTAAAATGTAATAATCAGTTTTGTTTTGTACACTTTGGCTTGAGTGCATTGTGCTGTATCCCCTGAAAGAGAGGGGTGAGAGTGGGACTGGGATCGCATGGCTGTTTGCTGGGGATGAAGCGCAGTGGAAGCCTGTTTTGGCTCCAGGACTCAACGGTTGGCTGTGCTGACCCCCCTCCCTGAGTGCAGAACAGGGGGACGTGCCACAGCTGTGCAGGCCGGACCGCAGGGAGACGGTAGTAAGTCAGCCTGGAGTCCATCGACTACATGTCATTTCTTTTGGTTAATAATAATAAAAACTTTATTTTATCTAGAGCCTTTAAAGGTGGCTTCTCAAAGCGCTTTACAGGATGACAACAACAATAAATAAGAAGAATACACAGGATAAGACACAATAACAATATATAGAAGAGACCGTGGATGGTGGTACTAAGAAAAGCAGAGGGGTGAAGAATGGAATCAGTTCAGTAAAGGCTTTTCTGAAGAAGAGGGTTTTGAGTCTGGAGTTGAAGGAGTTTAGAGAAGGCGACTCTCTGATATCCTTGGGGAGAGAGTTCCAGAGCTTGGGGGTGTAACAGGAGAAGGCCCTGTCACCCATACAATAAACCCACCCATAAACCGAGGTGACGCAATCCCAAAGACCCTGTCTCTCCCCCGGGCCACAGGGCAGCATTGCTAGCTGCGGGGAACGGTTATCGTTTCAGCTCCACAAAGTGGTCGGGGAAGAAATGGCTGTTTGTAACTCCGGGACCATGTGCTCTGCAGGACATGAATCTCAGGCGACCTGAAGGAGTTTGGAAGAGATTCTTCCGACGGTGATTCATTGCCAGACAGGGGGGGTCTGCGCGACGCACGCCGTTCCCTGCCAAGACTGAGCGCAGACGTCTAAGAGTGTGAGAGAGCCGTCGGACGGGAGGTTCGCTGCAGCAGAGACACACAGGCTGTTTCACGGGGAGCGCTGTGCTGCTTGTCCCCTGCAGCACCTCCGCACTCGAGGCCCGGGGGTCGGCTGCTCGACCAGCCCCAGACTGGGTGCCGGTTTCACCTGTGTTTGTGTACGTTTTTGCAGACCTGCCTGAAAACATGCAGGATATTTTTGAGTACCTTAAATAGCTTAAATAGCTGTCCCTGCTGAGGTTCAGTATGTGGTCCCCATGGGGCTTACCGAGACAGAGTTACTGAAAGGGGAGCCAGACGTGACGGGGGTGTGGCACCCCGACATTAACTCATATTTGGACGTTATGGGATAAACTTCACGGGCCCAGGTTTCCATCCATCCGTGTCCCAGCTGCTTTAACCAATTGTGGGTTGTGGCCAGCAACAGGCCCAGGGCAGGGTACGATGAAAGTTCCATGAGCAAAAGCAGACAGTAGTAACGTTTTTAGCAACTCATGGGAAAACAAGGGCAGCTGCCGAAGGAAGGCATATTTTATTTGTAAATACTTGCAAAATGACTGCGCTGAATTTAAATATAAATCCATAGCTGATACTGGCCCCTCCCCCCTTTCTGGTTTAACCTACTGTATGTGGCCTACCATACATTCCTCATGCGTTTGACTCACTGCTGATGTGGTTAGCTTTTAAATAGAGATCTACACTGTCTTCTGGTGGCGAAATGTGAAAACTGCACCCATTTCTACCTGTTCACCTCTAGGTCTTCTACTTGTGTTCTGAAATGCACTGGTGGGTAATCGACAGGAACTGGCTATTGCATCTGCAGCTACTGACACCACTAACAGGAATTCTCTTTTTCTAAAAAAGCCGCACTGAAGACACAGAACTGCGAGCCGCATGCAGAACACAAAGGACTGGTCACTGTTGGACTGAGGACATTGCAGAACGTGACCCTGCAGGGACAGGCAGCCTAGGAACAACCAAAGAGAGTTTCACAAAAGAATCCTTAGGGGCCTTCATCCCTCTGGGCATTAATTAAGACTAATGATGCCAACCAGGGTTTGATCATTAGGCTGCATGTCCAATTAGCATGTATTCATTCCAGGGACTGCAGGCTGTGTTTGTACCCAGGGAGAAAGAGCCAGGCAGTGGCCTGGAGATGGGCAGAAAGAGAATCAGGGCTGCGGGTTTCATTTAAGCAGCCTTAAGAACCACAGCAAAGGGCTCCTGCTTTAAAGCAGAACAGGTCCAAGACAAGCCCCAGTTAGACCCAGGACAGGCCCAGGTCCATTGAAAGGGTCTGACTGGATGCCCCGACAGGCAGGTTATATGGACACCAACTCTGATTGTTTAATATTTTGCAACACGTTCTATCCTTAAACATCTCAAAACTCCTTAAATGTTGCACCAGAAGCCCTACCTGGGAGACGCACAGAGGCCATTCTGCACCAGCAGCCCCACCTTGGAGACGCACAGCGGCCGTTCTGCACCCACAGACTGGGGGAGGAGGGTGAAACTGCTTCACCAGCTGGATTAAGGGGGAATATTAGGAGGTCCAGACTGTACAGCCCAGAGTGGAGCTGAGCCAGGACTCCCCACTCTGAGGGAAAATGCTGAAACCCGGAGCCGGATTAATCTGTGGGAATAATGAAACTGTCTCTGGATCGGGAAGCGCAGACAGCTTTCAGGGCCAGGGAGACTCTGAAACATCCCAGGAACCCTAAAAAACAGCGTTCTCCACATTCTCAAGACCGGCCCATGAAAAATGTTCCTATAGAAAGATTCTCACATTGTGTTTGTAGCACTGTGCTTGTACCAGTACCAATACTGTGTCCTCAGGGCTTTATCTGATCCTGTTCTAGGTCACCCAGATGCCAGTCACCTCCACCTGGTACAAAACCCAACACACGTCACCCTGAACACAGCCTTTAACAACGTAACTGAACACCGTCTATAACAATGGACCAATGTTTCAAAAGAAACATACATCCAAAACATTATAAAATCCAAAATGTCTGTACTGCATATTTCTGTAAAGCGTCTAAAATGGTGGTTTATTTAGTCATCAGATAAGTTTAATTGTCTCAGGAACATCAAGGTGCAAGTGACCCGCAGCAACAGGGGCACCTCGTCAAACATGACAATTGGCGGTTTCTGTGCGAATTCATGTATCGGCATCTCTGCTTTTAAATAATTGCAACGTGTTAGTTCACAGTATAGGAAGAATGGAGACGCACAAAATAAATCTCTCAAATTCGATTAGACTGGGTATAAAGTGTGCAATCCTTTTGTCCGGTACAACTCCCCCCCCCAAAAAAAAAAACAACCGATCTCGTCTGTCTGCAAAGACGCCGCCGTGGCAGTCTCTGTGCGCGCTCCCGACTCAGAGGAGAAGGGGGGGGGGGCGTCTGTTTTGTGAATATGTAAAGAGGCACGGGCGACTGGGGAATTCTCGAGAAGCGATTGGCTGACGTGCGTGGAAGGGCCGTGGCTTGGTGAACGGCGATTGGTTCCCGGCTGAAGCCGAGGTCCCGAGCGTTCTGGAAACCGCCTTGTGAGCGCGCACGGAGGCAGGGGTGGGAGGGGGGCGACGGGTTAAGAAGCAGCTCGGAAGTGACGCGCCCGTCCGCCGGCTGAGCGGAGACAGAGAGACAGACGGATTGACTGACGGAGAGGTCTGCGACGGAGGGCGACAGCGAGAAGCCGCCGATCATCTCCAAACTTACATTTCGGAGCGTCTGGAGCGCCAGTGGCTGGTACTGTGCAAGAAAAGAGTGCCGGGGAAGGACAAAAAAAACCACTGTCCCTGAAGGTAAAGGTTTTTAATGCGCGTTCATCGGGAACCCTAGCGGTTAGTGGATGTGGGTTTGTTACCTGCGCTGATCGGGGTTGACCGCAGCATCGTAAAGGCTTACCGGCGGCCGAAGGGAGCTGGGGTCGCCCCGGCTTGAGCCGGAGCTCGGAGATCCACGGGGGGGAGCTGGATTTTGGGTGCAAGCTAGCTCTTCCTTTCCACAAAAAAAAGGCTTCTTGAAGCCAAGACATCTGACTGCGCCGTGATGTAACTTAGCGACCGCTGCGAGACGGGCGCCGGCAGCTACGCATCCCCTCGCTGCGCGGATCCGTCTCCCCGTGCGCACGCCGCGCTGAAACCCCGCAGTTGGTCTGTTTTCGCTCGCTTTCCCGCAGTGTAATCTGTTTGATGGCGGGGACTGCGGCCCCGGGTCGCCCCCCGTCCGCCTGCGGGCAGGCTGGGCTGTAACAAAGAGCCGCCGGCGCGGACTAGGGTCGCTCCGAGACGCTGTTTTTGTGGGGTTTCAGTTCCAGGTTTGTGCTGTGGGGGGTGACCCTCCCGACACCCTGGGTCCTGGTTCAGCTTGGTGGGGTGGGTTCTACGCTCGGCAGCTTTCGCGGTTTCACACAACGCCCCCGAAGTCCGTGGAGAACTTGCTCAGAAGTGGCCACGTTTGAGGATCGTGCCCCCTGTGCTGAAACTCCGCCGCCGCGGTGCCGATCGGCCGCGCAGCGCCGGCCCGCCGGGCCCTGGCGGGGTCAGCCCGGTTCTGGGTGTTCAGACTGAGCCGGGCCGCGGGAGAGGCGTAGCCGTCGCCCCTAAACCTGGAACTGGAGGTCTTGAACCCTTGCTAGACTGGGTTTGCCCGTCTGCTTTCAAGTTAACAGCGTCGAAATCGGCTTGCAAAAACGTAGCCTCCTCCGGCAGGGACGGAGAGCGCTTTGGTCTCGGCAGGAGTCTTCGTCCCCAGTGGTGTAGACTTTTTTTTTTTCATTTACGGTATGGCTGGGAGGAAAGTCACGTTGTCCTCAGTGCTGTACTGTCCTGTTCCTGTATGAGGGAACAAAAAAGTTGTGGCTTCCCCTAGCTATCGGTTCGTAAGCATTTACAGCTTTGTTAAACTAACCCCACCGAATAACACCGCTCCGTGAGCCCCCGCTCATCCTCGCGTCTCCTGCCTGGTCTCTCAGTTCTCTCTTTTGGGAGATTCTCACGGCTCCCTGTGTGTAATAACACCTAGGAATGCGGTCAGCTGTAGTTAACCACACTGACAACTTCCCACAGGCTGTAAGTTGTCAAAGTCATAACTGAAGCCCAGCGACATCACCGAGTCGCAACCAGGGAGCTGTCTGGAGGTTTCTGAGGCAGCATCCGAGATTGTCTCAGGACCTGCTGAGGCTGAACACTTAAACAGTGTGCAGGGGACTACTGACAACCTCCCTGTCTATCCTACGTTTTAAAGCGTGTTTCCTGGGTCGCTGACAAGTGCAGTTTGATCCCTATAGCCCTGAGCATTGATTCATTGTGGTGGCGATTTGATTTCTAGCAACTTAATTCACTTCCTGTTTCTTATGTTCTGTTCTTGCTCCTGTGACGGTCGGATCCTTTGCAGTTGTGGTAATCCTGGCACTGCAGCTCTTCACATGTATGCTTGATCCTGACTTAAAACCACAGCTCAGCCCTCAGTCCTTGACGGTCTCAGTCCAGTAGGTTTTGGGGGGTGAACACTCAAAATTGGAGGGCACAAGGGACTGGAGTTGTCTTAACTTCCAGGTTTAGTCACTTTTCAGAGACAAGTGAACTATAACCAGTGCTGGGTTTGGGGTGACTCTTGTTCCTCAAAACCTTGGTTGGCAGGGGTTCTGTTGGACCTGTGGGACTGCAGATGTCATGAGACCCTAAAAGGCCTGCTGGGATGTGGCCATTGTGCTCGAAGTTTGGGGTGCTAGATGGGTTCGGTCCACAGTGTAGCTGGACTCCAGGTGCTCTTGGCGCTGGGCTGTATCTGAGGGAGCTCGGATTTGTGAGCTGAGCAAGTGGAGGTGCTTTTTGGAATAGAAGTATTGGCAGCTTTCTGCCTGTGACCTGCGACCTGACTTAAGTGCTTTTAAAGACGGTCTTCCTGCCGCTGAGATAGCAGCAAGTTATACAACGAGTCAGATGACAGCGAGACTGTGGACCTGGACAAGGTGAGATTTAATTGCTGCCGTGTGAGCTCTGTAAAAAGGCTCAGCAGGGTCTGAGGTGTAGAATCGCACTCCTCTCTCGCCCCTGGCTCACCGCAGGCCCGCTGTCACCCTGTTTTTCTGAACTGCGCCCCTGATCGATCTGACGGTCTTAAGCCCGCGTGCACTCTCGCCCTCCAGTGTGGCTTGCTCGCTCTCCCCTGTAGCCCTGCACACCTGCCAGGGTCAGAGGTGTGGGTGGGGTGGTCCTGGCCTGCCCAGACCGTGACTTCACCGCCTGGTCGAAATCCTGAATCGGCCTTTAACTTGCCGAGCCTCTCTGAAGCCCAGTTTAAGTTCTCTGTGATTCAGCACCGTCTTTGGTGCATCATGGGAAAGCACCGTTAGTCACGTCAGCTCGAATGAAATTGATTATTTGCCGTGTTCCGACAGTCGGTTCGTCCTCCGACGTTGTGCGTTGCGATAGTTGTGGTCCCTGGATGGGGCAGGCCTTTTTTGGGTTCTTTCCCATGCAGTCTGTGAATTATGGAGACTGGATGGCAGTGAGCTGAGCTGCCTGCTTGATTAGACCCTTAATATATTTCCCCATTCAGCCTCTGCTTTCAGAAGCCCGGCTGTAGGTGTGTTTCTGGCAAACCTAACAAACAGAATCGTTCCTCATCAGGAAGTCACTGCCTTATTTCTGCCGCCGCGGTACCCTAGCGGGTGACCTGTAATGAGTAGTCTGGCCTCTGCGGTGCTGCCTTGTTCGGAGGAGGGCAGAGCTGGAAGATGGCAGGTAATCGCTGACCCCACCCTGTTTCTTGGACTCTGAAAATCATCTGACAGGGGTGGAAACGGGCGGGCACAGGTCAGTTACACTCCGTGATGAAGGCCTGTGGAATGGACCAGTGAAGCCCATGCTGTTGAAAATTTGTGTCCACTGCAGGAGTTTCCACTGACTCACTGCAGGACCGGAGACTGCTGGTTCTTGCACTCTTTTTTTTTGCCTTGCATGTTTGTTTGCCTGTTACTACGTAAACCCGTTGTACTGTTAATTTTGGCTGGGGCCCTGCTAGCTCTGTGCCCGGCAGCCAGCCGCGCCTGTTTTACTGTGACGGATATCCGTGTACGGGTCGGGGTTTGGCGCTGTCCTTCCACGCTGGTGGATGTCTGGCGGTGTGTGTGTGTGTAAACTGCTACTCTGAAGTCAAATGCACCTTTGCTAATCCGATCACTCCCGCAGGTGGAATTTGCTCTGCAGATTAGCTGAAATAGGAATATCGCCAGCAGTGTAAATTTGCGTAGTGCATTGTTGGTCCTTGGCAAACTTTGAAATGTCAGAAATGTCGATTCAGTCTGGTGGGATGTCTTCGTGTCCTGCACACACCTGGGGGGGGGAGACCTAGTGCAGCAGGTTTGGCCCATTGCCTTCAGCCCCTTAGCTGAGGAAGACGAGTCAATCCGGAGCTCTGGGTCTGGGCTGTCCCTGGCCCGGCTGCTGTCGGGTGAGCTGGCTAGGTCTGCCTGAGCTCCACACGGCCTCCGGCTTTCATCCCGTTGGCCACCTTGGCGGCACCACTGAGCTTCCGGGCCGATCAGCTGGCGCGTTTGTCTCCGGGGCTGCCGAGTCCTGTACGAGATGGACCGGGACGAAGTGGGGGAGTGCAGGGATGATCGAGACAGCGGGTCTTGCTCGGAGCCCTCTGAGCTCGTACCACCTGGTCTCCCTCGAGTTTCCCCCCCTTAATTCAATTGTGGGAGCAGTTTCTTGCTCCTGCCTGTGAGCCGCCGGTGCACAGAGGCTGCCGTGTCACCCAGGTGGGGCTGCGCTTAGGGGGGATGCGACATGTGGACCGTTTCGGTATCCTGCAGGATGGAAAAACACTATAGATATTTTTTTATGAATGCGTTTCAAAAACCGACCAGCCAGGGCTTCTAAACCGTGTCTCGAGCACACTCCTGGGATTTATAGACCAGTACTTCATTATAACAGCTCCTCGGAGGAGAACAGGGCTGCGTGTGTTAAAAAAAAAGAGAGATGAGTGTGCCGTGACTGAAAACGGGCTCACAAGCTGCGCTTTGTTTGCCGAGCAGCTGTTTGCGATGGGTTTTAGTTTCTACAGATGTTCGAAGCGCACCAGCGAAGTTTGACATGTCCCCGCTGTTCCCATCTGCGCACACTTCCTGGCGCTCGTGTGTAAGGGAGGAATTTGTGGTTTTAATCAGTCGAGCCCTTCTAATAGTTGAAACTTTTTTTTTTATAGCGCCCAACCGCCACCAGTCCGAGCAGGTCTGCCTTTCGGAACTCATCTGAACGCCTCTTGTGTTCAGTTGTACAGTAGCTGCCAGCTGTATGACGTTGTTCCAGTGTCAGAAGTGCATAAGACCACGAGGTTACAGATGAGGAGGCCGCTCGCTCCAGCTGGCTCCTTCAGGAGTTAGTAGCTGATTGATCCGATGATCTTGAAGGGGAACTGGGAGTCCGAGCTTCGATAACGCAGCTGCAGAGCCTGTTCTAGACTCCCACAGCCCTTTGTGTAAAAAGGCCCTCCTTGGTTTTCAGCGCACTTCCTCGTAGCTTTCTTTGGAGGGGTTCCTGGGTGACGTGGCGCTGAAAAGCTCTGCTTCCGGTTCGCTGGCCGGTGAAGGACTACAGTCTTGACGATCCTGGGGGGGGTTGTTTTACAGCAGCAGTGTTGGTGTACAGACGGACAGGGACAACAATATTCACACATTCACACAGCAGGTCAAGTGTCAAGTAACGATCCGGCTACAGGTGTGAATGAGAACTTGAATCTGTTGGTTTTGGAGCTGGGGAGTCGGTATCTGCGGTCTGATGGGAGTATTATTAAACAAGGGGAGGGTGGCCAGTGGTGGTCTGGGTGATGGTGAGGGAGAGAGTTTTTGCCACAGGGACTCGTATTCGTGCTGTCCTCTCGGGACGTGCACCGTACAGTAGACAACACTTTCACGCAGGGTGCACAGTGCATTAGAAAATGGGGGGGAATAATGACCATTTTCCAGTAGATGTCGAGTGAGCGTTCTTGACTTCAGCCTTTGCTGGCTGCCCGCAATCGCGGTCAAGTGCCCGGTTCCTGTGTGCGCTCCCGTTTGTTCCTGTGTGCGCCAGTGAAGGCGCTGGCAGCTCAGCCCTGCAGCGGGCAGGAAGGGGCCGCCAGCCGAGCCGCCCTGTTCTTAGATCCGTGAACCCATAGCTCTCACAGCTGTGGGTCTCGGCACGCCTGGCCTTCACCTTTGATCGCCCCGGGGAACGCTCCCGAGCGCTGGGATGTCATGAAGGCGGCTGGCGGCGGTCGTGTTTTGGCGCGACGCCAGGTCGGGGCGTGTCCCGGGCGCGGCGGTGGCGTGCCGCACGCCGGGTGACGTGCGCGGAGGACCGGGCGTGTTTGCACGGCTGCAGTTTGCCTTTCCCCGAGCCGGCGCGGCTGGAGGACGGGGATGGGTGGTCAGGGAGCCGCGAAGTCGACCTATTTGCTGACGGGGAGCTGCCCAGGATCTGGCTCTCCTGACGCAAGCAGCTCTTGCAGAGAGAGAAAGAGAGAGAGAGAGAGAGACGGGTCACTGCTTGTGCATCAGCTGAGTGCATGCCTCTGGGGAAAAACGCCAACACAGCAAGTCCTGGCTCTCAACTCTTTAAAAAAAAAAAGTTTAAGATTGTGGCAATTTCTGAGCCGGGAGAAGCATGTACTTCAAGTATCAAACAGAATATTTTTGCAAATTCCTTCATGAGTGCATTTGACATCGGCTCAATTATTTAAACGAAGATTAGATGTTTCTCCTTGGTCTGGTGATATTCCCAAGCTAATGCACTTTGACCCCTGGTGTCAAGGAGGCAGAAAATGCCCTAACTGATAAAGTAGAGTCCCCAGGCTCTTCCTGGGGATAGAGGAAGTCCGGTTCCGCAAAGCGGAGCGCCGCTGACACTCCCGGCTCAAGCACAGAGCTGGCCGGCACTCGGACAGGGCTCGGCCGCCGTGATCCTGTAGAGCAGGGGTTCCCAATCCTGCCCCTGTTTCTGGGGTCACCCCCGCCAGCTCAGTCCTCAATTTCAACAATGACATCATAGGTTTAATTTTTTTTGTTTTATTGTTCCTAAGCATGTAGGAATTGGCCTTTTCCCTCTGGTGTTGGGTAAGTACCTCAAGAACACCAACCTTTGAGCAGGAATAAAGCTGCTATAAAGGCCCAGCAGCCTGTGATCTGGGGAAAGGGGTTCCCTGAAGTCAGGAGCTCAGCTGCAGTGGGAACCAGCAGCTGGGGGGGGGGTTCCCGGGACTGGGAGTACTGGTTTTCCTGCCCTCTGGGCCTGCGTGTGCTGCCTCCGTTAGCCAGGGTTAACGGCGAATGTAGCCTGGAGTGACTGAACACCTGGGCAGCTTCCCCTGGTTTCAGCTCAGTGTGTTACAAGGCCCCAGTCTCCTAAGCTTGCACAGCTCGGTGCTTTTTCCCCAGTTGGATCCGGCCGTGTACCAGTTTGAATCCTGTCGGACGCTGTTGGAACTCTGGCTGTGTGCGGTGTTGGGAATGCCTGAAGTGTTTTCCCACTCCGTCTGGCTATCGTCCTGCTTCTTTTTTGGGGGTGGGGGGGTTGACATGACAGGCCACCGTAAAATGGGGTCATTCGGAAAGAGCGCTTGGAACCGGTTTGCAATGGATCTCGTCCGCTTCTCGCAGTTCGAAAGCGGTCGGGCGACACGTTCCTGGGAGGTGTGGGGTCTGGGGGGAGCAGGGCTGAGCTGGTGCTGACAGCCTTGTTTCCTGCTTCCTGCCGAAACGGACGCAGGGGACTGGAATGGAAGGTGTTTCCCCAGGATATGCTGAAGTAACATCGGTCCTGCATGTGGGGGTACTTGGCGTAGGTGGATCTGTGGCTGGAAGGTTGCAGGTTCACCACTGGGCCCCTGAGCAAGGCCCTTAACCCCACTGCTCCAGGGGTGCTGTATAAACAGCTGACCCTGCGCTCTGACCCCCAGCTTCTCTCCCTGTTTGCGTGTCTCATGGAGAGCAAGCTGGGGTCTGAGAAAAGACACATTCCCAATACAAGAAAGTTTATATGGCCAAAAAAGGGACCTTGTCTTAGGTGCAGGAGAAGTGTTGCTGAGTGGGATTGTGTGGCTTGGCTCTGTCCTTGCTGCTCTCCCCACGGCTGGTCAGTCAGACCCGAGAGGAATCCGACATTTTCTCTTTCACCAAGGCTCGCCCTCCCCCCCCCTGCTCGCTGTGCAGGATGGGCCGTGTCCGTGTTGCGTCCCCCCGTAACGTCAACCTCCGGTCGCAGCTTCAGCTCAGTAAACTGGATTTCCGAAGACTGAGAGGAGCCGGCGTGGATGTTATTTATTTATTATTCATCGTTGCCTTCTGAGGTGGAATGCGTTTCGTGCCGCAGGGCTGATGTCTGCCGTAGCCCTCGCGTACCGAAATGGGTCAGGGGTGCTGGTACCCCCATCATCCTCCTCCCGCTCTCGTTCCTGGGAAGAACACTCGTAGGTGTCCTCCATTTTCAAACCGAACGCAGACTTACTATAATGCCCAATCACTAGGCAGTGCCGCTGCAGAGGAAAGGAGTCGGACTCGTCCCAGAGAGCTGTAGCGCCGTCTGTGTGACAGATCCATGCTGTGGTTCAGGGCGGTTGTTTCTGATCCAGCCAACCGGCCTGAAACCCAATAAACAAAGGAAGAAAAAACAAGAATCCGGGTCCTGGGAACCACTCTCTTAAAACCACGCCGCTGGTGTGTCCCAGTGCTTCCTTATTGTTTCCCAAGATCTGGTCTGAGCGCAGTCCATTACTGGGGTTCCGAAAAGCATCGAGAGAGCCAAACCTGGAGGCCGTGCTGCCTCAGTTTGGTGGGAAATTCAGTTCGGTGTTTTTGCTTAACAGTTTCAGCCTGGTTGTTGGTACAAAGTTGCGAAATGACTCACTTTTTTGATTGCCTGAGGGGCTACATTTTAGACCTTCCACCAGATTGCTCTTACTTTGTGTGTTTTCTGGAGTCAGTGGTGGCTGCAGTGGGTATTGGATTGAGCCCAGAAACAAAAGTTGTCGGGTGGCGTGACTAATGGAAATATGCTTTTAATTTTTGATCAGCGTTTCGGCAGAAAGCCTGTGCAGAGGAAATGGCTTTAAACAGCCGATTTACTGTGAGGTTCTCATGGTCTGGCTCGAGAAGTGCCCTGACTTCTGGTTTTAAGAGCTTTTCCCAGTCCTTTGATAGCTTTCTGGTCTCGTTACATTAACAGGCACATTTCCCTTTGTTAAGAGAAGCTGGTTCCAATAACTCCCTGGATGTTTGAGAAGGAGAGACGAGCATTAACGTACTAATCCTCCTGCCCTCTCCGTCTCGCTCCCGGTCCGTGGCGCTCCTGCCTCCTGTGCGTCGCGCCGTCTTGGGCAGGAGACGTTTTCTAAGCCGCACCCCCCCCTCTTCTGCGTTTTTTAATTTTGGTCTGTGTCTTGCAGAGGACAGCGACCGAGCTACCGGGAGCGAAGACCATGTGCGCCACACCAGGCAGGACTGCGGCTCGTTAACGTCCCGATCCTGGAATCCCTTCGGAGCTTCCCCGGATGTTTGGAATGTGAGCTGCCGCTGGTTGGCGTCCCGTGGGAGAGAGAGAGAGAGAGTGGAGACGCTCGCTCGTCGGGGGGGAGTGCTGGAGTCCAGTCAGAAGAAAGTCTGTGGCGAAGACTGAAAAGGATACGTTGCCGTTTTTATTTATTACCCTTTTCTCTTGCTCGAAAGGAAATCGGAATCCCAGGTGGGAGAAAGTGGCTTGTGACTGACCCCTCATCGCCTTAAGCTTCAGGTCACAACCCAAGGGCAAAGGCTTGGAGGTTCTTTGGAATTACCAGCCTCTCCTGGTCACGTTGAAGTTTTGGATCACGGGATGGCCAAGAAAAACAGTCAGAAGGGTGAGTTTCCTGAAGGTGTTAATCTTCCAGGAGCTGTCTTTTCGAAGGGGGTGCGCGTGGGGTTGTGCAGGTCAGGGATCCAGGAGGGCTCCTGTATTTGCTGGCTTCCTCTGGCTGTTTAACGCTGCAGCCCCTGATGAGTTGGGAGAAGTTGGTGGGTTGGTCCAGTTGAGTTGATTGAGGTGGGAAAACCTGTAAATGGTGTCCCTCCAGAACAGTAGCTGAACTTCTAGAAATGGAGAGTGAAGTCCTCTGCTAGGCGTGTTGATTTAACAGAACCTGTGCAGTCTGCAGGATGCCTGCACTCAAGGGGTGGATTATCAAACTGCAGCACCGGTGTTCTGATCTTTCCCATGGTCCTCCCTTGCCTTTGGGTGCTTAACTGGCACAGAAGAGACTTCTTCTGGGAGTATAGCAGAGTCCTGTTCTCTGGGCTTTGATTGAATTTGTGGCTTGACCCACCTGACCTCTAGCACAGTTTCCATTGAAACAGAAGAGCACAATCCAGCAGCGAGCCAGCATTTCATGACCGGCACAGATTTTAATAGAAACTCTGCCATGGGTCCAGGGGGCAGCAGTCCCACAGGTTTGACAGGCAACTTAAGCTCCTTGGTGGCCAATGGCTTGGAGGCAGTTGTGAAGATCAGTTCAGTTCTGGAGTGCTCTGCAAGTGTGTGGCCATTTCTGACTTGGGACAGTATTTTTTGCTTGACCATCGTCAACAGTTGGGTGCAAGGACTGAATTTCCTCCCGCACCTGGTGTGTTGAGCTGAATCGGCCTAGTTCGTGTCCAGCCTGGGTGCGGTTTAGCGTTGTCAGGCTATTGTAGACCCTGTAAGGGGAAAACGCTCTTCTCGTGTATCGGAGTGAGGGGGTTGGTCCGTCTCGGTGTGGGTGACGGCTGTAAGACCCGGATACTGAGCGATCCTGGGAAGAATGGGCAGCCTTGTGGCCGGTGTCCCCCGCAGCCGGCAGCATGGTTACGTAAACGGATTTGGCAGCTCTGCTTGTCCGCCAAGACGCCACCCGCCGCTGAGGCCTGGAGACCTGGTCTTCTCCCGGCCCTAATTTATTCCTTACCTCGCTCCGTGGCCCAAATGACCACAGACGACAGAAAAACACACCGCTGCCACGCAGGGTGCTTTATTTTCCGTGCGGAGCGGGCTTCTCCGGGAGGAGAACCTCAGAGTGTGGATTGCATCTGGGAAGGACTTTGTCCCCAGATCCGGATTTTCTTCAGCTCTGCAAACAGTGTGCTCTCTAGCCTTTCTTTCAATTCTAGCATATTCTGAAAGTGGAAAGATAATCCTCTGGATCTTGGGCTGGGTTTTATGCTTGGCAGATCTTCCTCGGTGTCCTTGTCATTAATCCAGAGCTGGCAGTGCTGCTCATAATTTCAGCTGCAGTTCAGTTGTACTCTGAAAATTAGGTTTGCAGACTTCTTTCCACGCGGCACTCTGTGATTCATCTGACGACGGAGGGGCTTTGCAGAACAGATACAGTATGTAATAGTTGCTCTGCCTCTCTTGGCAGTGTTGCGAGTTATTTTGGCTGGCCCAGTAACTCGCAGTAGGCTGTCAGCTCTTGAGAGGTTTGGCGCCAGCTACCAGGAGCTACCTGCTTCCAGTGCAGCTTCGCTTGATTGGAATGACATTCGTGTCATCCCGCAGAGCCCGCGGAATACAGATCTCGGGAGATGAATAACTGAAGAAACGCCAGCTGTACCCGGAGCGCTAGTCGATGCCCTTTTGAGAACAAAAGTGAAAGTTGGACACTTTCCAGTTTGCCCTTGCTTCATGCCCGTCCCTAGGTCACCTAGCTGTTCTTGATTTCTAATGAGCTGCGGGTCGGCTTGACTTCTTGTTGAGGCCCTGTCCTCGGATGTCCTAAGAGGCTTAATGCAGGCCCTCTTCAGGGAATCAGGCGGGGCCCAGATCAATCCTGATGAAGCACTGTTCACGGTCATGTCCGATGGAATTCGTTGTTCCTCCATTGTAGTTGTTTTTGGTGGAATAGCTGTTTGGCGAAGTCGGTAACGTACTGTATTCCAACTAGAACTTACGGAGGTTCTCTTCAGTACAATATCCCCAGGAGCTGCAGGTCCTCGGCCATTCATCTTCCAGGTCATGTAACGACTTCAGTGTCCCTCGCTGGCGGGAGGAACCCCTTGTACGTTCTCCTGATCGCCCTCTCCGCTTGGAGCCGGGTGGTGCCGGAGGCTGATGTGACCAAGCGCAGGTCCTGCGCAGGCACGGTGCAGGGTGGGGTCCACACCTCTCCAGCTCCTGGAACGATTCCTTTTCCAAGCTTCCCTACCACGTCCTAACTCTGCTGTCATCCAGGAGATCGGCCAGTGCTGACAATCTGGAACACAGATGCTGGGATACACGCCGCAGGTGTGCACCTGGTACCTTTCAAGAGTAATTCCGCTCTTTACCACGTGAGCGAAAAGCAGTACTTGGGTGCAGTTTAAGTTGATTTGGTTGCTTCTGCTGCCAGAAAAACTTGTGCTAGTCCGATCTGCAGTATTTGTCCTCGTATTTCTTCCGTGTCGTTCAAAAATGTCTGTGCGTGCCTCTGTCTCTTTACTGCCTCTGAGCTCAATGTTCATTTAATCCGGAGTCTCGGGCAGCTCTCTTCCTCCTCACCTGGACGTGACTTTGACCCAGTTTTTTCTTGCACAGAGGAGCCACTGTCCTGAAGCTCCCCACAGTGTTGGGCTGGACGGAGTTAGTCATTCTGTGGTCTTCACCACCCTTTTAACTCGGTTCTTCTCATGTTCCTGCCCTGAGTTTCCTAGCTGCAGTTGCTCGCTCTGAGTCGGCTGGCAAAGCGAAGGCGCGTGGGTACGTGTGTACTGTGCTGTTTCTAAAGGTATTAAAGCCTTCCAGGCAGGGGCCAGTCCCTTCCTAACCACACCGAGAGATTAAGAAGTGTAATCTAATCTCCCCTCACCGCAGGCACACGGAACAGGATCTTGCTTCCCGGTCTTGTTCCTGTTTCTGCAGCCCTGCTGGATGTCGAGCTCCATGTACTGTGTGCTTCTCTTTCTGCGCTGAAGTGCGTGACACAGAGGAGGGCGGCAGCGGAAGGCCTCCGCTTCCCAAGCCGTGCCTTTGCCCTGCGGACGTTCACTGTTCTCGCGCCAGCGGCCAGCAGGGAAGCTCGGGGAACCCGGGCCAGCGGCGTATCCACAGGGGTTTGCAGAAACAAACGTCCTGTGGGTGATCGGTCAGGTCCGTTTCAGTTTCCCAGTGCCGTTCGTTTCGGTTTTCGAGTCCTGCGGATGTGGAATCCAGCAGGTTGTTGGACTGCTTCTCCATCCGGGGCTCAGTCCGGGCAGCCGGATGCTGCCATCGCTGACGTAGGGAGCAGTGGAGGATGAGGAAGATGTGGGTGTGCCACCACGAGGAGGGTCCGTCCGGATTGTTTGGGTTAAACTGGTCCCAGATCTCCACCAGCGGTTTGTGAGAAGTCTGCGTGAGGTTGATATGGCTGGTTTGAGGTATTAAAAAGATTGGCAGCGGACAAAAGCCTTGATCGCACAAATTCTTTTTCGGGTCTTCGCACCTATATTTCTGTAGGATCAAGAGGGTCTGAATTTCCTTTTGCAAAGGCTGACCTGGGGATGGGACCGAGACGGGTGTTACGTGAGCCTTTCGGGCTCTGTGCCCTGGGCGATCTTTCAGAATGTGTAGCCTCTCCTGCAGTGCATCGTTCACGTCCGGTCGATCGGTGTCAGGGACCGAAGGCTGGCGGGTTTCAAGCCCTGAAGCGGGTCATCAGACCTGCGGGAGTCTTGTTCACGCTGCAGGCGACCTCTCTGCTCGTGGAAATGTTTACAGGGCTCCTCTCACCGAGGCCCGACGGAAGGAGACTCTGCTCCTGTGGTCTGGGAGGTTTTTTTGTGTAGTTTTGGGTTTTCTTTCTTCCAGCCAGTTGGTACGGAGTTGCGAAACCCCCTTCCCTATAAAAGCCAGCGAGTGCAGTGCCATGGTTCTCTGCCTGTGTACCAGGCTTTGCTTGGGCTTGTGCTTTGCATGTCAAATTGCTCCCAGAACCCCGATTGCAAAGGCTGATGGGCCAGAGCTCCGATTCGGCCCTCCTGCTCGCTTGCTTCTCGGTCCACCGAGCTGTTTCTCTCTCGCCGCTCCCTGCTCCCCATTTCCTTGTTACCCTTTAGATAAGAACGAACTTTTTAAAGCGACTATCAGGTCGAGCCGGTCGAGATACGGCCTACTTCCTCAATTCTTCTCCCTGCCGTGAGTTCCACCACCCCTTTCGTGGAAGGACACGTGTGTGTGTGTGTGTGTGTGGGGGGGGTGCCCTGTCAGTGTCCCGCAGTGCTTTACTTGAGCAAGACTTGACCCACGTGCCCTCTTTATCGCAAGAGCTCGGACTCGGGCCTGTGTTCTGCACCAGTTGGATGTTTGTGAGGTATCTCAGAGTGTCATCCCTCTCTTCTGTTGACTGCCTGTCAAACCTCTAAGGGCGATAAGACCAGATTTTCCCTCTTTGCCTCCGTTTCATCAGACAAAAACGTTTCGGAGAACGTGGGCAGCAGGCATCCTCTGCTTTGGACCTGGGGTACCCAATTAGCGGCCCCTGCCCACGGGTCCGGTGCCCTTCAAGACAGGCGTCCTCGCTTGTGCACTTGGGTCCGGAGGTGCCAGTCCAGGGTCGTCCCGCAGTGGGAGTCGAGGTGGCTGTCCTGTACTGGACTCCTGCTCCTGCCCGGCCTCGTCTTGCCTCCTGTGGTGCCAGCTGCTCTCTGGGGAAGAGCTGCCCTGCCTGCAAATGGCGTCTTGACTGCTGGCGCTGGGCTTGAAGGCTGTTGTCCGCTCATTCATGAGCGGCCATCGGCGCGCGGGTCCCAGAGGGCTGCGTCGTGCTCCCTGTGCAGCCCGTTACCTTGTGTGCTCTAGACCGGGAGGCTTTGCATCTTAATCTACTGAAATGATTGCGAAAGAAAAACTTGGCTTTTCTGTTCTGCCAGTGGCCAAGTCCATCTTCCCTTCTTTGCCGTCGAACACGGAGACGGATGGCTTTTAGTAGGCCTCTCTTCCTGCGGAGGTTATTGTCTGGGGTCGTGAACTAGGTCAGAGTTCAACACCTCGGCATCACCTCATCCAGCCTCCTGGCGCCCTGCTTGCAGACAGTAGGATGAATCCTGACCAGTGGGACCAGGTACTCCCAGCAGCCTCCAGCACTGGTGAGAGAGCTAGAGGGAGCCCCGATCTCTGCTCTAGTCCAGCTGGACGCCCTCATCAGGTTCGCCAGGAGCCGAGTTCGCCAATGTCTCCGGTTTAAGAGCCGGGTAACCCTGAAGGGCTGAGGTTGAGAAGGCTGCTCCGTGTCCATCTTGAGTTGGTGTAGCAGGTCTGGGGAGTAGAAATGAACCCGACGTCCTTTCCCTGTGCCAGGGGCTCGGCCAGAGGCGTACCGGGCTTGGCGTTAGCCTGGGCATGTACATGACGGCTCTGCCAGCGGTGTGAACCTTGTACACGCTTTTCCTGCAGGAGATGCAATATGTTATAAGGTGGACATTTAGAACTGGATTGGTTAACTCTGCTCGACACAAGGGTTACGATGTAACTTTATACTGTTAAATAGGAATGTGTGCTGCAAACCTAAGTAACCAATTCTATTAAAAGAACAAGTAATGGGTTGATTCCGCGCTGAAAAAAAGGGAGAAAGAAAACACAACGTTTCGGCCGTGAAGCCCTTCCTCGGGTGTGAGGGATTGCTCGCACCTGATGAAGGCTTCACGGTCGAAATGTTTTTTCTTTCTCCCTTTTTTTCAGCGCGGAATCAACCCATTACTTGTTCCTTTGCAGCCTACGCATGCTGACGCAGCTCCCGAACCTGAACTGTGTTAAAAGAAGTTATGTTTAGCAAATAAGGAATTAGGAAGATGTGTGTGTGATTCTGGACCACTGCCAATTTTGTAAGCACAGGGAAGCGCGATCGATAACAAAACAATTTCAGGCCTGCTCTAGTTGAAGTACTTTGAGGAAAAATACACCGAGCACCTCCGTTTCGCTCCCACGCGTGTGAAATAAAAACTTTTTAACTTCCGAGACGGACTCCTGACTCTTTTAAGGGGAAGGGGGAAGAGCTTCTCCAGCAGCGGGCTTGACCAGCCTGGCTCACCGCAGTGTGTGCCTGCTGCCTGTCGTCGACCAGAGGGCCAACAGCCGCCTGTCCCGTTTTTATCTCCGCAGACACCTCGGGCGTGGTGTTCGACACCCACTCCAAGATGGTCATGTCGCAGGGCGGCACTTTTGAGAAGATGAAGGAGAAGGTAAGGGGGGGGGGTGGTACCGGTGTGCGAAGGGCAGCGCAGGACACTCCAGGGTTAGGGGCACTGCCTCTGCAGGCCTCGGCAAGGCACCATTGCGGGCTTTCCAGCAGTGTAAAAATCACTGTTGGTTTTTTTTTTTTTTTAGTCAGTAGTCGAGTAGACAAAAGTGTTGTGGTCAGAAGATATTAATGGTCACCCCTAATGCAGGTGCCAGCTTTGTTTTCACATTCCACCGTGCTGAAGAGTTCTGTCCCACAGGTCTTCAAAATCTTAATTCCTGGTACCGATATTTAGTCACATGGCATTATGGGACACAGAACTGCTGGCAGTCGCTGGATCTGAGTTTCAGGTCAGTTTTCTTGTGTTGAACTGCCTTTCAATACACAGATAAAGATTATTTTATCTGGGGGGGG